GACTATCAATCAGTATCAATAAATTATACACATTTTCCTATTTATATATGTTCATAATCTGTATTTCTTTTTATCTGTATCATACCATTAAACATGCTGTTGGCAATAGCTCCACAAGGAGCAATTGGTTTGTCTTCATTTCTTCGATAAGGCTCACATTCCTTACTGGGATTCTGATGTTCAGAAGGAAAAGAAGAAAGAAATTATCACATGGGCCTCTGGGAGAACTACGAGCTAGCCTAATTACGGATTTTAAATTCAGTCCCAACATGTGTCTCATTTGTAATGCATACAGAATAATTCTGTACTGTAAAGACTGTAACACCACATTTAAATACTCAAATTTTTTTTTAATTTTTATTTTTTATAAACATATAATATATTTTTATCCCCAGGGGTACAGGTCTGTGAATTGCCAGGTTTACACACTTCACAGCACTCACCTTAGCACATACCCTCTCCAATGTCCATAACCCCACCCCCCTCTCCCAACCCCCCTCCCCCCAGCAACCCTCAGTTTGTTTTGTGAGATTACGAGTCACTTATTGTTTGTCTCCCTCCCAATCCCATCTTGTTTCATTTACTCAAATTTTTTCTTAATGTTACTGTATTACCTTTTTATGTAACCCTTCCTTGCAAATACTTTGTCATATATACATATATCAAATTGACTTTTTTAAAATTTTCTTATCAACACAAAAATCATATCACGAAGTTTTCTGCTCAAGAAAAATTAAGAAGCAGTCTATTCTCAATCCAGTTGTGACATGATAAAAGGAATGTTCAATTGAAAGTAGACTGCAGGGGCGCCTGGGTGGTTCAGTGGGTTAAAGCCTCTGCCTTTGGTTCAGGTCATGATCCCAGGGTCCTGGGATGGAGCCCTGCATCCGGCTCTCTGCTCAGCCGGGAGCCTGCTTCCCCCTCCCTCTCTGTCTGCCTCCCTGCCTACTTGTGATCTCTGTCTGTCACATAAATAAATAAAATCTTAAAAAAAAAAAAAAAAGTAGACTGGAAGCTCTAGTTCCACCTATGTACTATATAACTTTGGGCAAGTCCCTTGATTTACCTGGCTTAACTTAGAAAATGAACATATTCAACTAGATAATCTCAAATTTTGTAATTCTGGGTTAATCCTGTGGTTCTACGTCAAAGGAAGGAAGGAGGGAGGGTGAGGTTTTAAATACAAATAAACTCTTCAGTAGGGGATATATATTCTAGCCACTGAATTCTTCAAGAAGTTTTAATAGAAAGGAAAATATTTTTTTACTACCTACGCATCAGAGATCCTGAACTAAGCAATGCTAGATACTTTCCAGTAACTGGTTTAGGAAAGCCATTTATTGAGTACCTAATATACCATGTATCCTGCAAGGTATTAGACACAGAAAAAGCAAACAAATAAATAAATAAAGTCCCCGCTTTTTAGCTCACAGTATAACAGAGGAAACACATCCATATACAACCAATTATTATATGAAATAAGAGCCATGATGAAGGAGTTTCTAGTCATTCAACATGTATTTATTAAACGTCTTCCATGTGCTAAGCACTGGCAAGGTGCTTGGTATATGGTGATTAAAATGATCCTTGCCCTCATGAGCATAGCATATAGTATAGTTGGGAAAACAGAAGACAAATAAGTAAATATGTAATTACAAATTGCAGTAAGTGTTATGAAAGTGGTATGCCAAGTAATTAATAGGGGAAGGCAAAATAAATTACTTTAGAACCTATGATAAAGAAAAGCTTGTTCTGGAGGTAATATAACATGAATTAAGACCTAAAAAAGAAGAGAAGGCAAGCATGTCACGAGCAGGCAGAAGAGGGTTTTAAGCAGAGAGAATACAGGCCACTGAGAAAGAACTTGTTATTTCTGAGAAGATAAAAGAAGAATGTAGTTAGAGTATGGGAACAAGGAGAATAACGTATGATGACACTGGAGAATTATGCATAGTTCAGATCATCCTGAGATTTTACTCCAAATGCCAGTAGACCACTAAAAGATCATTTAAGTGGTTATCTACATTTTTCAAAAGATCACTACAGCGACTATGTAGAAAATGGCCTGACAGTAGGGCCAGAACAAATGATATGGAGAGAGTTGGGAATGCATGATATGGGGAAAGTTTGTTAAGCAAGGTGAGAAGTGACTTGGCATAGGGTATGAATGAATTAAATATGTAAAGAAGTTATTTTGTATCCAAGGGCACTATAGAAAAGAGCAGGCCTCCACATGAGAGGACTTCCAGGGCAAGACTTAAACCAGTATTCTAGGCAAATAAAATGTAAATGCTGAAGGGCAGATTACTTGGTCTCAGGAATGGTTAGGAAGAAGCATACATCACCCAAGGCAGCCAGGCCAAAGATACATGAAAGGTATGAGTTAGAAATAAGGAAGTAGAGTGGAGTGGTAGGTTGACAGAAGATTGTGAAGGACCTTACACACAATGTTTTAAGTAACAAAGACTTCAATCTGTCCATTCTTAAAATCTTCAAAATCTTTGAAAGCCACCTGGTCTTTAAAATCATGTATTTGGTTTAGCTCAGAGATCAATAAATAACAAACTATACCTGTTTTTATAAATAAAATTTTATTGGAACACAGTTACAGTACACCCATTCGTAAGTATTGTCTATGGGTTACTTTCATTTTACCGTGGCAGAGGGGAGTTGCTGTGTCAGAGACCATATGACCTGCAAAACCGAAGGTATTTACTGTCTGAGCTTTACAGAAACAAATTCATCAATTCCTAGTCTAGGCCAAAAGCTTTTTGCTTGCAGCCTGTAAGAAAAGAACTGATCTCTGTTTCTTCTGCTTTTAGCAAAGAGAGGGTGTATCTAAATAAAGGAATTATAAAACAACCACCGTTTTCCAGGTCTCTAAACACACCCAATCTATAATCCCAATCAACAAATTCAGAAAGATCTAAGAACTTGGTGTGTCTCATAGAATATCACCTTCTCTGGATTTGAGTCCTAAAACCCCACATGGTATTTTGCAAAATATTGCAGACCTAACCAGAATCTTTCAATAGACATGTTATTTCTTGAGATCCCAAACATTAGGAATGATCAATAAAACCAGTAGATAACCTAGAGGAGTATATGCTTACCAGGAGCATTCTGGTCACAATATAGTCCTAAACTGCATTCTAAGAAATTCATTATATCTAAGAAACCCAAAATAGCTCTGGAACTCTGAAGGTTTGCTACACTGGCAACACTAACATAAAATACTTGGGGACCAACCACTACTATGAAAAGTTGAACAGTCAGGAAACTAAGATCCTCTAGCCCCACATTGGGCTCTCTGCTCAGCAGGGAGCCTGCTTCTCCCTTTCTCTCTCTGCAGCTTCCCCTGCTCCTGCTCTCCTGCTCAATCTCTTGAGCTCTCTCCCTCAAATAAATAAATAAAATTTTGAAAAAAAAAAAAAAAAAGGGGGGAGCCTGCTTCTCCCTCTCCCCCTGCTTGTGCTCTCGCTCTGTCAAATAAATAAATAAAATCTTCAAAAAATAGTAATAAAATAAAAAAGCAAAAACTCTCACTAAACAAACTACAAGTAAAAAGTAACACTTTAATTTCATCCTAACATTATTAAATTTAACATTTCTAACTAAGCTATTACCACATATTCTTATTTATATCTACATTTTCATATTCCCATCATTTTACTTACAAGTAAAGCACTAGAATCTCCATTTAGTTGACTATCATCTCGAGATTTCACGTAACGACGATGGTTTTGATAGAAATTAGACAGTCCATAATACATAAACACATTGCCCTAGAGAAAAAGAAGGGAAACAATTTTCATATGAAACTGTTGTGTATAAACTTGTTTCATGCATACATAAAAGCTAGTCATTTGGACTTTACTAGTTTAGAATTTGTGATAACTTAAAACAAGTACTGGAGTGAATCCTACCAATCCTTAACAATCTAAAACATTACAAACTGTAAGTAAGGTTAAAGAAGGTATGTTAAAAAATTCAAGAAAAAACTTTGAAATATCCTTAAAGACTTCAAAGAAGTACTATTTGCATGGAAAAAAAAGCCCTCAAGATGTCTATTAGCCTATTCTACTTTCAACTTCAAATTTTCTCCAATTCAGATTGGTCTCCACTGAGAGTCAACTTTTCAAAGGAATAATGGTCTAACTTTCATTTATTGTCCAAGTTAATTCTTAACTTGAACTGAGACATAAAAAATTTCTTAACAACATGCTATATAGTATTAGTAATTAATAAATTAATAATTAGTAAAGTATCTAAGTTAATGAGTTAATATATAACAATCAAGAAAAATGCTCTAATATAGTTGGTGGAGCCAATTTAGAATAACTTGGGAAAGAAGGGTGACCGACATACACTATAATTATTTAGAAGGCACCGCAAAACCATCTTGAATGACTTAAGGTTTTAAGAGGTAGCAAAAACATTAAGCTATTTTCTCCTTTCTGGTTGCTACTTCTATAGTCTACAATCAAAAATAACTCAATAGGGGCTCCTGGGTAGCTCAGGTGTTAAGCACCTGCCTTCAGCTCAGGTCATGATCCCAAGGTCCTGGGATCAAGCCCCACATCCGGCTCCCTGCTTAGCGGGAAGCCTGCTTTTCCCTCTCTCTCTGCCTGCTGCTTCCCCTGCCTGTGTTTTCTGTCAAATAAATAAATAAAAATCTTTTTAAAAAATAAATAATAGGGGCATGTGGGTGGCTCAGTGGGTTAAGCCTCTGCCTTCGGCTCAGGTCATGATCTCAGGGTCCTGGGATTGAGCCCTGCATGGGCTCTCTGCTTGGCAGGGAGCCTGCTTCCCCCTCTCTCTGCCTGCCTCTCTGCCTACTTGTGATCTTTCTCTCTCTCTCTCTGTCAAATAAATAAATAAAATCTTAATAAATAAATAAATAATTTTTAAAAATAACATTTTAAGTAGGCTTTATTTGATTTGCTATTTTCACATACACAATTACTTATTTAAAATTTTATTTTCAAATGTCAAATTATACAAACTTTCCCATTTGATATAAAGAAAATGTTCACATAAGAACTATTTTTGGTTATCAAAAATATCACAGAAACAAAGAATATGCTTAAAAAAAGATAATCTCAATTAAGAAGCAGTACAGTAAATTCAACTTATAAACTGAAAAAGAAATCCTTTCAGTGAATACTGAGACAAAATAACTGAAAAGTCTGTCAGTCCAATGCAAAGTTTGGTCTTGTGAAGGAACCCAGGATCCACAAAAGAATGGGCTTTTCAGAAAAAGTTCTAAAGTAGGTGTTTTTGGATGGGGAAAGAAACAACTGAAGCTTTCAAGACTGTTTTATCTCAATTCTGTCTGTTCAGACAAAAGCAGAACTTCTTTACAGTTTTCTCATCACAGTGAAAAAAATCTGAATTTTTGAGGTTTAAAATTTATATGTGATTTCTGCTGAAACAAAGTAAAACAAATTCCTGTCTGCTCCCAAATTTATTTGCATGTTTTTTAAGATAGTGTTAGTCCTTTTTTTTTTTTAAAGATTTTTTATTTATTTGTTAGAGAGAGGGAGAGAGAGCGAGCACAGGCAGACAGAATGGCAGGCAGAGGCAGAGGGAGAAGCAGGTTCCCCGCCGAGCAAGGAGCCCGATATGGGACTCGATCCCAGGACCCTGGGATCATGACCTGAGCCGAAGGCTGCTGCTTAACCAACTGAGCCACCCAGGCGTCCCTAGTGTTAGTCCTTTATTTCAGTGCACAAACATCTACAACCACTAGATGGCAACCACTTGCCGGGGACCACAAAAGTCAAACAGGTCTTTTAAGAAAATTTCAATTGTAGAAAATCTAAAAAGTTGACAAGTATTAAACTAATTTTGCTTCCTGAAGAATAAAACAATTTTTTATGCTGAATTTTTAGGTAAAGGAAAGCACAAACTGGTTTTGTCATGTCTATTCTGAATCCTTATGTCCTTTAGCATCGGCTCAATTTCCAGTAACAGGAATGAATGCAAAAGATATATAACTACACACACACACACACACACACACACACACACACAGAGAGTAGTGTTCTAATTGCTGTCAAGACATAAAAGCTCAATAAGGTTTCACTACGTGTTTGCATTTATGGCAATTCATATCTAATAGAAAACAAGACAACTAAATAATGAATGACTTAGTAAATTTCCGAAGTAAACTTACTTTAGTATTAAAAGTAGGCAAACTCTGTCTGTCAGATAAATAAATAAAATCTTTAAAAAAAAAAAAAAGTAGGCAAAATTATTTCATATAAATGATACATTGCTTTGTAAAATAAAATTTTCCAGTGAAAAGATAAAATGTTTTAAATTTAGTTTATAAAGTACTAAACTATTTAAATAAATACATGATATTTAATTACCAGACAGCATAATGCAATAGTCAAACAAAACAATGTTCCTCAAAAGGATATGGACTTTGCTACAAAAATGAAATTAGTAAAAAAATTTTAATAAAACATCAATATTTTTAAAAGCAGGGTTTTTCTAAGACATTGGGAATACAGACCTCAAATGACTGTTCCAGTGTGAAGTTAATGGTACAGTAACAAGGTGTCGCATTCGGAGACAAACATTTATTGCAGGGACTAGAAGGGTCTGTTCCGGTATAATCAATCTGTAAAAGAAACACAAAGTAAGCACTTCCTTGGAGAAAGTGGATACACTGTGAAATAACTTGCTATTAGAAGAAAAAAAATGAGTCCAATGAAGCAATGTATAGCCCAGAAAAAAAAGTTTTTAAGGTTATCTATTTTGACAACCTAGGGTAATAAAAACTAAAAAGGGTCCTACATTATTCTACTAGCTCATCTTTCCATGTAAATTCCTCTCTCCTTTTTACCAGGAGAAATATATTTACGCATAAAGTCAGATAAAATATTCTAACTGCATGATATATAAAGATTTAAACAGCTATATAAAGCCTAAATAATTAAAATAACAAGTGAGAGGTGCAGGGGGTGGGGGCTCAAGTCAGTTGGGCATCTGCCTTTGGCTCAGCTCATGATCCAGAGGTCCTGGGACTGAGCCCTGCACTGGGCTATCTGCTCCCAAAGAGCCTGCTTCTCCCTCTCCCTCTGTTCCCCCTGCTTGTGTTCTGTCAATAATAATAAATAATAATAATATAATAAATAAATAATCTCTTTAAAAATAAGTGAATAAAAATAAATTTAAAGAAATACCAAGTTGATACAGAGATCAGTAAATCAGTTATTGCTCTTAAGTCTTCCAATCTTTAATACTTTTCAGTCACCTCAGCTTCCATGATATATTTTCAAATTAAAAAAACAACAACTAGTAGGTATCTCAAGAGCTACCATTTTCTTAAAAACCTGATGGTGTAAAATAAAGAATTTGCCTTGTCTTTGTCCTGGTTTCCTGGCAAGGAGCTTCTAAAACCCTTGGAATTTCTCCAATGACAAGGGGGTATCTGTTTTTGATAAGCCCCGTGACTCACCCACTATAGTTTCTGCTAGAGACAGCCCAGGATGGGGGCTAGTCACCGGAAAGACTATGTATGATTAGGGACTTTGGCTCAGCCCAATCTCTGGGGAGAGGGGAAAGCCTGGAAATTTAGTCCAGTTATATGCGCCAATGTTTAATCAATCATGCCTGTGTCATGAAATGTAAAAAATAAAAATAAAAAAAAAAACAACTCTGGAAACAGAAGCACAGGGGTGCTTCCTGGTTGGTTAACCCACTGATATACCAGAAGAGTGATGTACCCTGATTCTATAGGGAGAGGGCACAAGATTCTATATTCAGGTCCCTACCAGACCTCAACTTACGTGTTCATTTAGCTAGTCATAATTTACGTTGTTTACAATAAAACTGTAATGGAACTTAGCTAGTCATAATTTACGTTGTTTACAATAAAATTGTAATCCTAAGTATAGCACTTCCCTGAGTTAAGTCACTCTAGCATATTACTGAAACTGAGAAGGATCACAAGAACCCCAGATTTATAGCCAATTGGTCATAAGTACAGATGGCCTGGAGACCTCTAAACTTGCAAATGGTATCTGAAGGACAGTCTTGTGTATGTGGGGGTGGGGGCGGTCTTAGGAAGCCCCTGGATTTGCAGCTAGTTGACCAGACATGTCAGTAGCCTGGGGACCCAATTTGCAGCTGGCATCCAAAGTGGTGACAGTCTCTCATTGGGAGCCATGCCCTTACAGCTGTGCAGTCTGATGCTATTTCAGGATGGTTAGTGTCAGAATTGAACTGCAGTACACCAGCTGGCATCAGATGACCTGGCTGATGGCTAATATGAGTCATTATAAGAATTTTTTAAAATAGATACCATTGGGCGCCTGGGTGGCTCAGTGGGTTAAGCCGCTGCCTTCGGCTCAGGTCATGATCTCAGGGTCCTGGGATCGAGTCCCACATCGGGCTCTCTGCTCAGCAGGGAGCCTGCTTCCCTTCCTCTCTCTCTGCCTGCCTCTCTGCCTACTTGTGATCTCTGTCTGTCAAATAAATAAATAAAATCTTTAAAAAATAATAATAAAATAAAATAAAATAGATACCATTATTGTATCAATATTTTATGGTCTTAAAAATCCTTTGTACTCTACCTATTCATCCCTCCCTCCCCTAACTACTGGCAACCACTGATCTTTTTACTATCTCCACAGTTTTGCCTTTTCCAGAATGTTGTACAGCTGGAATCACACAGTGTGTAGCCTTTTCAAATTGGCCTCTTTCACTTAATAATATGCATTTAAGGTTACTCAAAGCCTTTTCATGGCGTGATAGCACACTTCTTTTTAGCACTGAACATTATTCCATTTTCTGAATGCAACACAGATTTATCCATTCACCTACTAAAGGACATCTTGGTTGCTTTCAAATTTGGGCAATTACAAGTAAAACTACTATAAACATCCTCCTGCAGGTTTTGTGTGAACCTAAGTTTTCAGCCATCTGAATAAATTACAAGGAGTAGGAATGCTGGATTGTATGGTAAGAGCAAGCTTAGTTATCTAAGAGGCTGCCAAACTATCTGTATTGTTTTGCATTCCCACCAGCTGTGAATGAGTTCCTATTGCTCCACATCCTCACCAGCATCTGCTGCTGTCAGATTTTTGGATTCTCACCATTCTAATAGGTGTACAGTGGTATCTTGTTTTAATTTACAATTCCCTAATGATCTATGTTAAGCATCTTTCATGTGCTACTTGCCATCTATATATTAGGGACCAAATGTATCCTCCCCAAATCAGCACTAATTGTCCATGTGATGTATCTGGAGGTGGGGCTGTTGGAAGGTAATTAGGTTTAGATGAGGTCATGAAAGTAGAGCCCCCATAATGCGATTAGTGTGTCCTTAAGAGTAGAGACCAGAGCTCTCTTTCTCTCTCCCTAATCCCATGAGAACAAAGTTGAGAAGGCAGCATCTGCAAGTGAGGAAGAGGGTCCTCACCAGGAACTGAATCTACCAATACCTTGATCTTAGACTACTGAGACTCTAAAACCATGAGAAATAAATGTCTATTATTTAAGTCACCTAGTCTGTGTTTTCTGTTCTGTTTTTGGTTTTGGGTTTTGTTTTGTAGCAGCCCAAGATAAAATAGAGTTTAGTACTAAAAAGTGGGGTGTTGCTGTAACAAATACCTACAAAGACAGAAATGGCTTTGGAACTATGTAAGTGGTAGAGCCTGGAAGAGACTGGAGATGGATGCTAAAAATAGAGACATTAAGGGTAATAGCGGCAGCAAAGAAAAAGCCTTGGGGCAAGAATGTCTGGCCCAGTGGGTCCTGAAGGTAGAAGAGCTTCAGATCCAAGATGATTACATTTGAGCCTTAATATCTAAAAGTATTTACTCACTAGATTTTGAAGACTTGCTTAGAACCTGTCACCCCTTTTTTCCTCTAATTTTCTCCCCTTCCAAATGGGAATGTCTATGCTCTGTCAGTTCCTCCCACTGTATTTTGGAAGCACATAACTTATCTGGTTAAATAGGTTCACAGATGGAAAGACATTTTGTCTCAGGATGAACATACCTCAAGCGCCACCCATATCTGATTTAACTGATATTTAGATGAGACCTTAGAGTTGGTGCTGGATTGAGTTGAGACTTCGGGGTATATTGGGATGAAATCGAAGTATATTCTGCATGCAAGAAGGACATGAATTTGAGGAGAAAAAGGGTAGACTGTATGGACTGAATGTGCCCCCCCCAAATTTGTATGTTGCAACCATAACCCCCAATATGATAGCATTTGGAGGTGGGCCTTTGGGAGGTAATTAGGCTTAGATGAGGTCATAACAGTGGGGTCCCTATGACAGGACTGGTGTCCTTAATAAAAAGAGGAAGAGAGACCAGAGCTCTCTTTCTGCCATGGTAAGGACATAGCAAGAAGGTGACCTCCTGCAAGCTAAGATGAGGGTTCTCACCAGGAAATCAATCTACCAACACCTGATCTTGGACTTCTTTGCCTCAAAGACTGTAGGAAATGACCATCTGTTGTTTATAAGCCACCTAGTCTATGGTCTTTTGTTATAAGAGCCCAAACTAAGATATTGTATATTTTCTTGGGTGAGATATCTCTTAAGGTCTTTTGCCCAATTTTTAACTGGGTTTTTCATTTTCTTATTGCTGAGTATTAATAGTTCCTTGCATATTTTGGATAATAGTCCTTTAATAGTCCTTTATCCTAGATAATAGTCCTTTTAAAAATGTTTTTTCCTACTCAGTGGCTTTTTTTCTCACTCTTTTGATAAATAATAATTTTATGATAAAGTCTTTTATTTAATTTAATAAAGTACAAAGTTTAGCCATTTAATTTTTATTTCTAAAACAACATTTAAACTTTATATATGCTCAGTATTTCCTTACATTGAAAATAAAGGTTAAAATCGGTCTATAGAAAATAGAGTCAGCAACTAACTGCAACATCTGATTGCTTTTTAAAAAAGATTTATTTAGGTCAGAGAGAAGGAGAGCACAAGCATGTGCAAGTTGAGGGGAGGGAGAGAGGGAGAGGGAGACAAGCAGAGGCCCCACTGAGCACAGGCTGGACACAGGGCTCATCACAGGACCCTGAGTTCATGATCTGAGCCAAATTCAAGAGTCCGACACTTAACTCACTGAGCCACCCAGGCGCCCCAACATCTGATTGCTTCTCAAAAACTACAAAACTGTTTAATAAATCCCGGTTTTGTCAAATTCCAATAATGAAATGTTCTCCACCAAAGCTTATTTTTTTATTAATAAAACTTTGTTTACAGAAAATTTTTATTCATCCCAAATATCTAGGAGAAGTTAGGCACATAACTAAAACAATCTAAAAACACAGGTCTCCTAAATGAAGAGAGGCAAAGCATATGTAATTTATACTATACCTGTTGAGCCACAACTTTCCACTCAGGGCCTATCCATACATAATATCCCACTTAAAACCCAAGTTTTATGATTCTGAAGAGATGAAAAATGAGACCACTTAGAAGGGAGAACTATATTTTAAAATCTATATTAAACTATAGTAATTTTTTTCAGTTTTTATTTTTAAAAAATCTCCACACATTTCTTTCTTTTGAGTCTTTCTTAAGACTAATTTAAGGATTTATGGGTGCCTGGGTGGCTCAGTGGGTTAAGCCTCTGCCTTCGGCTCAGG